GAGCCCGACCCCACAGTATGTAGATCGTAGCCAACTTTTTCTTCTATCAGACGGCGTGTCTCTGATTTGATATCAAGCTCCTTGATCCATTTTGAATTAACTTTTGTGCATGGCGAGAGAAAGGGATTCAGTTTCATTTTGTTGCATATGGATTTCCAGTTTTCCCAGCACCATTTGTTGAAGATGCTATCCTTCCTCCATTGCATGCTTTTAGCCCCTTTATCAAATATAAGGTAGTTGTAGTTTTGTGGATTGGTTTCTGTGTCCTCTATTCTGTACCATTGGTCCACCCGCCTGTTTTGGTACCAGTACCATGCTGTTTTTGTTACTATTGCTCTGTAATATAGTTTGAAGTCTGGTATCGCTATACCGCCTGATTCACACTTCCTGCTTAGCATTGTTTTTGCTATTCTGGGTCTTTTATTTTTCCATATGAATTTCATGATTGCTTTCTCTATTTCTACAAGAAATGCCGTTGGGATTTTGATTGGCATTGCATTAAACCTATAGAGAACTTTTGGTAATATCGCCATTTTGATGATGTTAGTTCTGCCTATCCATGAACAGGGTATATTTTTCCATCTTCTAAGATCTTCTTCTATTTCTCTCTTTAGGGTTCTGTAGTTTTCATTGTATAAGTCTTTCACCTCTTTTGTTAGGTTGATTCCCAAGTATTTTATTTTTTTTGAAGATATTGTGAATGGAGTGGTTGTCCTCATTTCCAATTCAGAGGATTTGTCGCTGATATACAGGAATGCCTTTGATTTATGCGTGTTGATTTTATATCCTGCCACTTTGCTGAATTCATTTATTAGCTCTAATAATTTCTTTGTAGACCCTTTTGGGTCTGCTAGGTATAGAATCATGTCATCTGCAAATAGTGATAATTTAAGTTCTTCTTTTCCTATTTTGATGCCTTTAATTTCTTTCGTCTGTCTAATTGCTCTGGCCAGTGTTTCAAGAACTATGTTGAACAGAAGTGGTGAGAGAGGGCATCCCTGTCTTGTTCCAGATTTTAGAGGGAATGCCTTCAATTTTTCTCCATTCAGAATGATGCTAGCCTGAGGCTTAGCATAGATTGCTTTTACAATATTGAGGTATGTTCCTGTTATCCCTAGTTTTTCTAGAGTTTTGAACATAAAGGGATGCTGTACTTTGTCGAATGCTTTTTCCGCATCTATCGAGATGATCATATGGTTCTTATTTTTAAGTCTATTGATGTGGTGAATAACATTTATTGATTTCCGTATATTGAACCAGCCTTGCATCCCAGGGATGAATCCTACTTGATCATGGTGCACAATTTTTTGGATATGTTTTTGTATCCGATTGGCCAGAATTTTATTGAGGATTTTTGCATCTAGGTTCATTAGAGATGTTGGTCTGTAGTTTTCTTTCTTTGAAGTGTCTTTGTCTGGTTTAGGTATCAGGGTGATGTTGGCCTCATAGAATGAATTTGGAAGTTCTCCCTCTTTTTCTATTTCCTGAAGTAGCTTGAAAAGTATTGGTATTAGTTTTCTCGGTCTATTCCCTAAAGACCTAAAAAGAGCATGCTACAGGGACACTGCTACATCGATGTTCATAGCAGCACAATTCACAATAGCAAGACTGTGGAACCAACCTAGATGCCCTTCAATAGATGAATGGATAAAAAAAATGTGGCATTATACACAATGGAGTATTACTCTGCATTAAAAAATGACAAAATCATATAATTTACAGGGAAATGGATGGCATTAGAGCAGATTATGCTAAGTGAAGCTAGCCAATCCCTAAAAAACTAATGACAAATGTCTTCTTTGATTTAAGGAGAGTAACTAAGAACAGAGTAGGGTCGAAGAGCATGAGAAGAAGATTAACATTAAACAGGGATGAGAGGTGGGAGGGAAAGGGAGAGAGAAGGGAAATTGCATGGAAATGGAAGGAGACCCTCAGGGTTATACAAAAGTACATACAAGAGGAAGTGAGGGGAAAGGGAAAAATAATACAAGGGGGACAAATGAATGTCAGTAGAGGGGGCAGAGAGAGAAGAGGCGAGGGGAGGGGAGGGGAGGGGGGATAGTAGAGGATAGGAAAGGCAGCAGAACACAACAGACACTAGTTTGGCAATATGTAAATCAATGGATGTGTAACTGATGTGATTCTGCAATCTGTATATGGGGTAAAAATGGGAGCTCATAACCCACTTGAATCAAAGTGTGAAATATGGTAAAAAAAAAAAAAGAGATATATGAGAATCAAAAAAAAAATAAAATGACATTTTGAGGGTATTATGAATTCAGGCGATTTTTAACATGAAATTTTCAATTCTATTCAGATATTTGATGTTTCATTGTTATTCTTTGAACTCTCTATCTAACTCTGTGATTGTGATCCCTGGAGGAATACTTTTTAAAACAAAAAGCCAAAGGCAATAATAGCCACCAGTCAATTAGCTACTTATCATGGTAAAAACATGATTGTTTTAGAAAGCTTGTCTAGTTAAAGAACTATTTTAAGCTTGCTTTTACTATAATGATTCTCAAAGCAGCAGTTCTCACTCATGGAATTCCTGTTTGAACCCAGGATTTAAGCCAAGTTGTATAACACAAGGATTCCAAAAGATTCCAAAAGCAAAACTGTGACTATTGATATTTAGGATGACAAAGTCTAATTTTAAACAATTTGTTCATTTGAAAAGGGGAAAGGATAGACTATATTTTAATGAAAACATGCTTAAGTATGAAGTCATGTATTGAGCATTATTTATGCCTAGGTTAGCCAGGAGTCTGTTTACTGAACATTTTTAATATCCTCTTCATGCTATAGCACTTTCATCTCATATGTACTTGGATACTTAGTCTCCCATACTGGAGATTGAGGTGTATAAAGAAATTAGGATACTTTTCTTCACTATTTCTGTGGCTTCTAAAATTTGCATATGCTTCCAGCAGTAACGTCAATATGATTAAGATATTTTCATAGACAGAAGAAATGATTGTTGAAGTGTGATTTCTTCATATACAGTGGTCTTAAGAAACTTAGGGTGTCTGAGAGTGGCTTGAAAATTAGAATAACTAAAATGTGAGGATGACATAGGTGAGACACTGTGCCCTTAGAATGATCCTTTGAGGACACTTGAGTTGATTTTATGTGTCTATGTATGTGATGCTGTGGATTGAACACAGGCTAGCCAAAAGCTCTACCACTGAGCTATATCCCCAATCCTAGTGGTGGATTTTGAAAGAAATAACATTAAATGCAGTTATTCTTTGAGTAATAGCAGTGACTTTGTGTTGAGTTAGCATGGAAACTATTTGCTACCTCTTATAAAATGATAATTTTCCAGTGTAATTATTATCTAGTCTCCTGAGACTATATATCATTTTTAGATTGGTTAAGTCAGGTAAAGCTTAGCACTATTAAGAATTTAGTTATTTAGGTGACTTATTTTGTCTTTTATTTCTATGCTTAGTTGTGTGTATTTTACACCATTCAAACAAAGATAATCTTAATAGACTTGCAATACGTTCATGCATTTAATGCCATGCTGAGATTTTTTTCCCAGATGCCAATGTTCATGAGTACATTGTCTTTGTAAAAAATGTACTATACTAGTAACTTTTCCCTAAGAGAAAAAAAGTTACTTGTAGTATCCTTCACAAGTTTTAGATCACAGTTAAATTTTTTTTTTTAATTTATTTTTTTTAGTTTTTGCATAGTACTTGGGATTGAACCCTGGGCTTCCTACATGATAGGCAATTCAGCTAACATGGATCTACACTCCCAGCCCTGAAGTTATATTTTTTAAAGTGCAAAGAAATAGCATAATTGTGGCCCTAGGAATCACTTATACAATTGAGCATCACTCATTTGAGGACAAATGCCTATCAATGTACTTGATTGAGAAAAAATTGTCCCTTTTACTTTTCTCACATAATTTGATGGTCCCATTAACCACCACACTATTTTTATAATGGAAGTTGTAAACTGCCAATACTTTAGGACAATGATAGTTGAAGAGGTTCTGTACAGGAAGGGTTTATGGATTTGACTTCTTCTTTATTCGTGTAAGGTTTTTATATTGTTTTCTGTGGTGGCTTCTTTGGAAGGTGTACTGATAGAGATTATGGATAGGTAAAGCCACTCCTTAGCATTACTACTCCTTACAGTTTTTCAGTTTTTTTAAGTCCCTGTGACCATTTGAATTAAAATGTGACCTGAGGAACTCAAAAGTAAACATTTTGTTGAAACAAAACAAACAGTATTTCAAAAATGGGGAAGGAGACAAGGCCAACTTAATCAAAAGACCATCACTTTGAGGTTCAACACACACACACACACACACACACACACACACACAATGCTACTGTTTTATTTTATTTATTTATTTTTGAGACAGAGTCTTGCTAAGTTGATGAGGCTGATTTTGAACTTGAAATCCCCTGTTTTAGCCTTGCTGGTTAATAGGATTACAGGCATGTGCCACAACAGTCTGAATTATACCTACTCTTCAAAGTAGAGTCAGCTGGAATTTTTTTTATGGCTACCTGTTTATTAATTAAGTTACCTTAGGTTCTTTAAAGCATTTTCACTGAATTAAAGAAATTTTTGCATATTTTAGAAGAAATCTTTATCTTCCTTTTTTTCTCACTTAGTCCAAATTAGTGAGATTTTATTATATATTTAATTCCATTGTGCTGTAGGTATCTGGTAAAGGAGTAATTAATGTTACACATTAGGTAAGAAGCAACAATTGATTTTTGTTTCTATTTGGCTTATCTTTTCTGCTTAAGTGCTGATATTTAATTTGTAGGGAAACCTCTAAACAGATCTATATTTTTATGTTTATCATCTTCCCTGAACTAATGAAATAAACACATTTATTGATTTCAGAATGAGTTTTATTAATGTAGTTAATATGCCTTACTAATGTTATTTCATGTACTTGGATTAGTACCATTAATGTTTATGAATCAAAATTTTTCTTTCAGTTCAAAAAAATACAGAACCTTCAGAAATAAAGAAGAGTATACCTGCAAAGAAGAAACTGAAAGAATTAAGAGTTTTGGATCCGAAAACAGCTCAGAATCTGTGTATGTAGTATCTTCCTCTTAGGGGGTGGTTGTGGTGATGGTAAGGGGTTGCCAAATGTATTTAAACAAAGTTGTAAATTTTTTGAACAATATTAGTATAGATGGAAACAAAATTCTGTAGGTGGACATGGTGGAACACACCTTTAATCATAGAGACTTTGGAGGTTGATTGCAGGAGGATCATAAGTTCAGAGCCAGCCTCTGCAAATTATCCAGGCCCTAAATAATTTAGTGAGACACTGTCTCAAAATACAAAATAAAAACAGAAAGGGCTGGGGATGTGGCTCTATGGTTAAGCGCTACTGGGTAAATCCCTGGTATAAAAAGAAAGTACTAAACAAATAAAAGTAAAAAAAGGAAAAGAAACAAACTTCTGTGTAATTATGATTTGGGTTACCTTTTTGTCACTTAGCCACTATAAATAAAAATCACAATTTAGCCTTGTTCTGGAAAGTACTGTTAATAAAACCTTCTTAGTGAATCTTGTCAAACAAGGCAAAGTTGAAAAAAAAAAGAGTATTAGGTTTTTTTTTTCCCCTTTTGCTTGAGTCTGGCATTTATAATTTTAGAGTATTCACATTGTTCCCATTCTGCAAAACTCCTTTTACTGCTATCCTTTGCACTTGAGTAATTGTGAGGCCAGCTAGTAAAAATTTTAACTGTTGCACTTTAAGAGAGGTTACTGACAATTTGGGATATAGTTCAGTGGTAGAGTTCCTGCCTAGAAAGTGCCGGGCTCTGGGTTATATCCTCAGCACATCAAAGAAATGACAAAAATGGTAACAAAAAACAAGAAGAAATGAAGAGTAAGAAAGCCCAGACTAATTACTGAACCTTGAAACCTTTACCAAAACTGTCAGCCATTGCTACAGTAGATGGACAGTTAAACTCATCTTCATTTAAGTAGCCCTTTAAGTTTTATTTTGTTGTACTCTTCCCTCTGCGTTGGATTCAGAATATTTTTTGTCAGTATAGTAGACTGTTGAGATTCCAAGTGTACTAAAACACTATGCATGAGAAATTTCAACACATCAAGCGTTTCTAATTGCTTAAAGAATACCATGGGAATTTATTTTGTTAAAGAATGTGCTATAGAGAATCAGATTAAAATAAACAACTCATCATTCTTGTGTCAGTAGGAATGTAGCTGTATAAAAAAGCAGTGTACTAATAGCTGTTTTGAATTTGTACATTGCTTACCTGGTCATACATTTTCTTTATAAATTTGTTCAGTACTTTTTAAAAAAATACAATATGATCTCAATTGCTTGTTGACATCTGTCAGAATTATTTACTTAGATTTTGGAGATCTCCTTTGCTTTTTTTGTGTTGGTAATCATTTGCATAGACAGGATTCGTTTTTCTTTTAGTACCTAAAAAGTCATATAGACCGTTTCATGAAAAATAAATCCTATACAACATAATATTGATTAAAAAATAGAAAATCTTAGGTTCTAGTGATAAGAACACATCTATCTATATTCTTTGAAAAATATATTTAATGGAGATTAAATCGAATGTGTTGGAAAATACTTTCTTAGTAATTATAAGCTATTCTAGGTATAATTTTTTGAATTATTCCAACATGACATAAAATTTATGTAATTCAGTCAATGTTGACAGGTGAAATAATGACTTAATGCATAAAGCAACTACCAGTACACCACATGAGTGTCAGCGGGAACGCAGGGTACTTTGATGACTCAGGCACTTAAAATTTTTTCTTGTGTGGGAGAACTGCTAAGTACAGTAGTTCTTCCTTCTCTGCGTGGGATATGTTCCAAGATCTCCCATGGGAGCAAGAACCACTGATAGTACTGTACCCCATATATGCTATGTTTTTTGTTCATATATATTACGTACCTATTAAAAAGTTTAATCTATAAGTTAGGCACAGTAAAATCTCAACTACAATAATAAAATAAAACAATTATAATTGGCCTAGGGATATGGCTCAAGCAGTAGCGCGGACTCCCTGGCATGCGTGCGGCCCGGGTTCAATCCTCAGCACCACATACAAACAAAGATGTTGTGTCTGCCGAAAAACCGAAAAATAAATATTGAAATTCTCTCTCTCTCCTCTGTCTCTCCTCTCTCTCTCTCTCTCTTAAAAAAAAATTAAAATTAAAAAAAAATTATAACCATCTGAAATAAGTGTTATGTGAATGTGGTCTCTCTCTCGTTTTTTCCTTCTTTCTCCAAAAATATCTTATTGGTCCGTGCTCACTCTTTTAGTGATTTTGTAAGATGATCCCTAAAGGAAGCACTTTAGAATTTCTCTTTGGCAAATTGAAATTGTCAGAATCACTATTTTTTTCAGTTTGGGGCCATTTTTAAGTAAAATAAGGGTTACTTGAACATAAACACTGTGATAACATAATGGTAGTTCTTATAACCAAAAAGACTATTAAATGATGAAGGGGCAGGTAGCATATACTTTTGGATACACTGGAGAAATGGATAATTTATACCACCAGTGAGGCAGAAGTGACACTGTAAAATGTCATTGGGCTTCTCAGAACAGCACATACTTTAAGATTTATAAATTGTTTATATCTGGAACGTTGCTTGTATTATTTTCAGACTGTGGTTTATTGAATGTAAATTTTAAAAAAAACTGTTGTGGGGAATACCATAATATTGATTTGATTTTTTTTAAATGGATAATTTACTGTCATTCCTGAAAAGTACTGTGTTTTTATGGGTCATTTTATCAGCTCAACTTAACCTGCCTAAGACATACAGTCAAGAGTGTTGTTTAGCCCTGCATGGTGGTGCATGCCTGTGATGCCAGTAGCTTGGGAGGCTGAGGCAGGAGGATTGTGAGTTCAAAGCCAGCCTCAGCAACAGTGAGGCACTAAAGCAACTCAGTGGAGACCCTGTCTCTAAATGAAATAGAAAATAGGTGTGGGGATATGGCTCAGTGGTCGAGAGCCCCTGAGTTTAATCCCTTATACCAACCCCTGCAAAAAAAAAACAACAAAAAAAAAACACAAAATGCTATTAGTAGTTGTATTTTGTATGTAAATATTCATGATCTATAAACATTAGAGCCTAAGTTAATAGACCATTTTGTCTAGATGGATAGAAACTTATCTATCAAATGGAAACAACTTTTGATTGTTCATAATTCTGTAAATTGGTATGAATGACAGAAGTTTTAATATTTTGAATCTATAAAATGGAAAGCATATAAACCCTATGGCTTTTACATTTATTGCTGTCCTAATGTTAATAAATTCAACTTTTATTTTAGCTATCTTCCTGGGATCATATCGCATGCCATATGAAGATATTAAAAACAGCATTCTAGAGGTTAATGAAGACATGCTAAGTGAGGCCTTAATTCAGGTAAGTTGAATATATTTCTTTTAAAATTTATTTTCACAGATATTTCTGGATTTCCATCTTCTCAATTGAGTTGAAACAGAATAATTTTCTGTTTTAATAATAGTATCAGAAGTATATACCTGTACTGATTAGTAAGAGGAATTATACCCTACCCTTTAAGACCTAGGTTTTAAATCTCTCTGCTATTTATTAGCTACACATCATTTTAAATATAAGCATATGTGTATGTAGGCATATCATTCTCTGTCATTCATTGTACATGAAATTACATGTGTTTTATCATTGCATTGGCCCCATTAAGTAGTTATTATTAGCATGTTATGGATGAAAATCTAAAAAGTCAAGAGGTTAAATAGCTTGCTCAAAAATCAATGGATAAGTGGTAGAGTTACCTTTTTATTGGGCTGGGAACTTACATATTTTGGGGATCATGTCAATTGCTCTATGTGTTTATTATCTCATTGAATCCTCAAGTAATTCTGTGAGATCAGCAGCTATCCTTCTTTTACAAAACAGGCAACTGAGGCTTAGAGAAATTGTTGAGTTTCATAATGCTCCTTAATTCAGAGTAGTAGACAAGGGATTCAAAACAAGGTCTATCTTGACATGAAAGTCATTATATTATTCTGGATAAGTTAAAGCTTTCTAAATCTGTTTCCTTATCTGAAAATATAAGGCCCTTGTAAGAATTAAACTAACTAAAGTGCTTTGTAGTATAAAATAGTATGGAAATATAACATATTATTAGAATTCTTGACGTATCTGGGCCTTTCTAGTTTGGTTTCTGGGAATAAGTGCTTCAAATATTTGTGCAAGGGCATAGACACATGTTCCCCCCAACCCCGGGGCATTGTTGTTGTCTTTTGTTTTTGAGCCATACAGTTTTTATTTCAAGAGGATATCAAGTAGTTTATGCTACATAACTTAAACAGTTTAGCCATAACCCCCTCTCACTCCCTCTAAATCTCAGAGAACTGGTAATAGTTTGAGCAAGCCATGTCTATATGGAAATTACTCTATTTGGGTGTGTGGGCCTGCATAATGGTTTACCTCAGGTGTTTTTATCTATCTATCTATCTATCTATCTATCTATCTATCTATCTATCTATCTATCGGTACTAGGGGTGGTTAACCACTGAGCCACATCCCTACCCCTTTTTCTTTATTTTGAGACTCACTAATGTTCTCACTAAGCTGCTTAGGGTGTTACTGAGACTGGCTTTGAACCTGTGATCCTCCTTCCTCAGCTTTCCGAGCTGCTGGGAATACAGATGTGTGCCAACATTGCCCACCAGCTGTTGTTTTAAATTTAGACATTATTTTCTATAGGAATGAGGGCGAATGAGTATATTTAAGCTCCTTATTATTACAATACACCTACATCTATAAGGGATACATTTTCATAAGAAATAGCTTTGTTGAAACAATATAGATAAATACATCACACAGACATGCCCCTCCCCAACACACACCGTTCCCACCCTGGGGAAACAAGCAAGTTCATAGTTCTCTGAGTTGAAATGGGTAGCTGATTATTTGAGTCCTACATCTCTTAGTTCCAGGATTGTTTGCACAATAATCAGAATGAGCAAGGCATTTGGCTTAAATGTAATTTAATTTTTCCTCTTTTCTTCAATTTGAGGATTTAGCTATAAAATATAATAAGGCAAATAAACTTTTGATTCCTACTCAATAATTGAAGCTTTCTAATCTTCCCTGTATAATCGAATTATACTAAAATAGAACTATATTTTGAAGAATTAACTGACATAGTCATTATTTTATTCACTAAAATAGTATACCATTTTTTTTTAACGTACCTTGGTAAATGCAAAAAGTATAAATATGGAGAATGTTGCCATGGTATTTATTTGCCAAGGACATTTAAACAAATCTTTATTATTAAGTCACATTTTCAACTCTTTAGGGAATGTAAGACAGGAACAGAGGTTCTCACTTATGAATGTCCCTTACATGCAACAACAAGCTTTTAAAATGTATATATTACCCAGGATTTTTGTTTACTATTTCACTTTATTATACACACACACACACACACACACACACACACTTCTCTTTAAATTGGATAAGCCTGGTCCAGTTGGGAGAAATGGATTCCTTATAGTTTGGAGATAGCAGTAAATTACATCTAAATTCTTGAATTTGCTGGTTTAATCGTGTCTACTCTGCAGTCAAAACTATTGCTTTAAAATCACATTATTATGCTAAAATTTGAATTGTACTCTAAGAAGGTGAGTGAAGGAGAACCAAGTGTAGCTCCTGCCAGATTACTTTGTACTTCCATATATTTCTTATTTGCTGTGCATGGGTTGACTTGGACCTGTCTCAACTCTTCCTATTTACTATACTTCCATTCACTTTTCTAAACTTTAATATTTTCTTCTCCTTCACATTCTTACATTTTACCCATTTCCTTCTTTGCTACACCAATTTTATGCCTTTTATTTATTTCATGCTGTATCCATCAGCTTCTCATTGCTGAGACAAAATACCTGACATGAATACCTTAAAAATTTAAAAAAAGATTTCAGGTTATAATTTCAGAGGTTTCGTTCCATCATCCACTGGCTCCATTACTGTGGGCCAGAGGTAAAGCAGAACATGATGGTGGAAAGGCATGGCAGAGAAAAACTGCATATCTAATGGTAGCCAGGAAGCAGAGAGAAGGAGAAGGAGCTGGGAAAAGAAATACCCTTCTAGGGCACACCCATATGACCTCCTTCCTCCAACTACGTCCTACCTCCTAAATTTTGTACCACCTCCCAATAATATCATTAGCTATGAATCAATGAATGGATGAGGTCAGAGATCTCATGATCCATTCACTGCCCAAGAGCCCTACCTGTGAACATGGCTGAATGGGGACCATGCCTTTAACACTTGAGCCAGGTGGGGGACATTTTAGATTCAAACTGTAACATGTGATTTCTGTTTACTAGCATTTAGTTTTAAGAGCCTTATATTTCTTGTCAGTGCCACATAGTCTCAATTTTTTTTTCTCATTCCTTACTCCACTCAATCAGAACTCAGTTTTTTTCTTCTGCTTACAAGAAACAAACATTTTAAAATGTAAGATAGTATGCATAATCAGAATTTGGCTACTTGGGTAAGAGACAAACATTGTGTAACTCACTTGAGTTATTAAGGTAAACATTGCTATTATCTAGGTGAACCAAACATCTGAGTATCTTCTGATAAGGAAGATGCTCCTAGGTTGAAACAATTCTATGATTTTCCAGTCCCCAATGAAGAGTGCTTCCTTCATGCAGGAAAACAGACTAGAATCACCAGCGTCTCTCTCTCCCTCCCATCTCACAAATGTTTGCTTCAGTGATGCAGAAGTAACATTAATTTGCCATTCATATGAGCTGTTTACCATTTATGTCTAATTATCATGTAGCACATCGATAATATGTAGCATTAAATATGTATCATCAGATTAACTTTGTTGTAAGTTCTGTTTGATTACAGTGCTAAACTCCATCCATGCATAATCATAGTTTGTTGCTCATGTAGCATGGTTGTCTCCTCATGACAACAAAAATCAATTAAAGATACATCATTTCCCAGAGACTTGAATTAACTCCAGTATTTTCTCTGCAAGTGTGGGTCAATAGTCACTTCCTTGCTAGGCAACTAATAGATTTTAGTTATTTTGTAGGATAAATGTCTTAAAAATAATTAAAAAAAACTATTTTATTTAATCAACAAGATCAAGGTAAAATGTTATGGTTATTAATAAAAAAACTAATTTCTCCTTTAGTTCAAAATGCCTAAACTTCGGTGATAAACTGAATTTATCTGTAGAAGAAATTGAAATGTCCTAAACTACTTGCAGTAATACATAGAAACTTTTAAAAGTACACCATATCCTGAGGTTGTTGAGGAGATTTTAATATGTGCAATTATGAATAAATTCCAAAAAATGTGTACTAAATTTAGGTGATCCTTTGCATCATTTTTCCAGCTTTGAAAATCTGCTTCAGTGTAATTTCATTTGATCTGTTTAGAGAAAAATTCAAGATAGTTATTACGTGTGGTATCAGTGGAAAAAGAAATACTTGTAGACACACTTACATATATAACATTGACAAAGAAATTAATCTACCAGTTTCAAAAAAGTGATTCAAGTGTTAAAGGGAAAATATATGTTCTATTAGAGACAATTAGTGCATGCAAATGATTTTTTTAATACCTGTATTTTATTTATTTATTTTTACATGGTGCTGAGGATTGAACCAAGTGCCATGCACATGATAGGTGAGCACTCTACTACTGAGCCACAATCACAGCCCCAAATAAATGATTCTTAAATGCTCAGGAAATATTGTTTCGGCAGGAACTTTATGCTCATATTCACAAGGCATGTGTAAAATAAAACATGATCCACAGAGAAACTAGTATATTGTTATTACAGAATTGGGGACCCATGGAGAGGATTCAGAAGATTCAGAACTTGGATGTGAAAAATATTGCATCTTTATTTTTTTGCTTCTAATTAATATTTAGTATTTCATTTAATTAAGAATGTAGGCAACAAACCAAAGTAGTATTAGCAGTACTTCTAACTTTGACACTAATAGAAATAATAAATATTTTCATATTATATTCCAGTGGTGGCAGATATCTTGAAACATTGTTTACACTCATTACCACTTCAGAATTAAAGTACTTATTAGAGCTGCCACTAGATCTTTTTAATGCTTTAATCATGCACATGTTATTATATCACTACTTACTTTTATAAATACGGTGATAACTGTTTCAATATAAGCAATTTCTGTTATAATTCTATGTACTTTATTTTATTCTGAGAAGAGATCCCAAAGTGAAATAAGTCCATGACACACAAAAACATGCCAGAAACTGGTACAGTGGCTTATGGAGGGGAACTGTGAGAATGGGCTGTAGCTAAGGTGGTCTTCCTGGAAGAAATGCTCTTGAACTGGACTTTGAAGCACTAGTAGGTTCAGTTAGGA